TCTGGAAGCCTCATGGGCGGTCTTGGGGGTCCTTTTCAAGCTCGTTTGGGCCATCTTGGGTCCCTCTTGGGAGTCTTTGGGGGCCTCGTGAATTTCTGTCGGGCCGTCCTGGGGCAGTCTTGGGGCCCTCGTGGGCTGTCTTGAAGCCCTCTTGGGGGCCTCTTGGGCCGTCTTGGGGCGATCTCGGAGGCCTCTTGGGCCGTCGTGATCGCTGCTACGACACAACGAGCGAATGAGCTGAAAATGCACGTTTTCTCGAGGGACTGGGAAGATGTTTGCCTCTTGGGGGGCACCCTGAAGGCCTGTTGAGGCGTCTCGGCGGCCTTTGGGGCAATCTTGGGGGCTTTCTGGGCCGTGTTGAAGCCGTCTTGCGATGTCTTGGGGCTCTCCTGCGCCTCTTCGACCACCTCTCTGATCGCTTTGGGCCTGCTGGGCAAGGCCCGGAAAGGCGCCATGGGAGGCGCGGCAGGGCTAGGGGACCTCTTCCAAGGGCGTCCAATGGGGCCCAAAGCCCCAGATCCTGGGTTCCGGCTTTGGGGGGACGCGGGGGGAGGTTTTCCCGCCCCCCCCCCCAAGTTTGCAAAAAGATAGGAAGGGGAATGTACTAGAAAACGTTGATGTTTAATGCTCATGCTGGGAAGTGCAATGCTCGAGGTAACCAATCGGTCGCACCGTGTCTGTTTATCAAAACGTATACAGCCCCACACGCATTGTTGATTGAGTGCAGAAGCCATACCCATGCCAATGACAATGCTCTGATCAACCTGAGCAATACGACTGTGAACACTGCCGTCAATATCATTACTAAGGCGAAACGCTGCTGTGAGTCCTCTTTTGGGCAGGCAGGCAGTGCCCCTGGGTGTGGTGCGACTTGAGCTGAAGCGAAAGCAACATTGGCGGCATCTTGAAGCTCATCCACTGACTTTTTGTGCTGCGTCGGCTCTGCCAATTCACCTTCCGTCCGCGACATGTAGAATACACTGCCAACGAGGGCGGACCTGTACACGCCTCGCTGCGCCAATAATGCGCGCAACATGCATTCCGTCCGCGGCAGGTAGAAGATGCTGCCAGCGAGAGAGGAACTGTACACGCCTCGCTACAGTTGTGAACACAACGTCTAAATTGACCGATTGAGCGCGAGCGCGCGACTCCGCGACTGCTTCCCCCGACTTGCAGACAGAAATGAGGGCAAGTTCTTCCGCTCGCTACGGATATCGTTTCAGGGTCGACCAGTAAAATTCGCACCCGCACTTACAAGTCATGTGATCGCAGCCGCCGTTCTTCTCGATGTACTCAGAGCAACTTGGGCACCTCTTCACCTTGACGCCCATCACTTCCTCGACGTCGACGTCCACTGGCGCCGGCGCGCCCGACACGTCGGGCGCCCACCGCCGCTCGCAGATGAAACACATGACAAGATCGAAGCCAAGGTACCCGAGGCCCCAGCAGTCGGGATCGGGGCAATCCACCTGGACCGCGGCGGGATACAGAGTGTTCTCCTGCAGGCGCCGGCGCCGGCCCATGGTGCCCGCGAGGGCCTGAGACCGTTGCTCCAGGTGCCTCTGGAAGGGCAGGGCCACGAGCTGCTCGCAACCAGGAGCGAAGCAGCCGATGCGGAGCAGCCGCCAGGAGCTCTGCTCTGTCCGCTGCTGGCGGCTGCCCGAGTACCGCTCGAGCTGGGACCCGCCCCAGCGCGCCCAGCAGGTCTGGCAGGCCCGGTGGCCGCAGGGGCTGTTGCATAGCAGCGCGAGACTGTGCTCTGCGCAGACTGTACACACTGGCCCCGCCCGGGCTGTCGACGGCTCCCACTCGAGGTGCACCCCCGCGCGAGACAGCGCTTTGAGTTCGTGAACTTCCGTGCTCCTCTCGTGGGCAGCGGCGTGCAACGGCTTGTGGAAACGCTGGAGCAGGCCCCACATCTTGCCGCCGGCAGCCTGCTCGCACTCAAGGCAGCGCGGCTGCGCGCGCTTCTCGCGGGCCTGACAGACACCCGCCTTGGCCCAGCATTCTCTGCAGGCGCGGTGGCCGCAGCCATCGTTGACCAGGAGGCCCCAGGCTCGCCCGCTGCACTGCCCACACGCTGAACCAGAGCCTGCCAGAATGGGCGCCCAGTCCACCCTCACGGCCTGAGACTCTGCATGCCTGAGCCAGCGCACCTCCGGGTCCGCCTGCACCTGGTTCTCAAACTCCCTGATGCCAGTCGACGACCGGCACAGGAATTCCCAGAGGGGGCCCAGTATCGCCTCCCCGCAGCGGCGATGGAGGCACGGTATGAGCGAGCGGATCCCGAGGCCAGCCGCAGCCCTGTGCGTCGCCCAGCGGAGCCAGCAGTCTGGGCAGGCTGCGTGGCCGCAGCCGTTGCGGACCAGGCCCCACACTTGCCGGTCGCAGTGCTCGCACGCCAGGCCACACGTATTAAAGACGACCCTGGCGCCGGACCGCTCTGCATCCCTGAGGTGGCGCGCCTGCGACTGCAACTGGCTCTCAAAAGCCCGGAGGCACTCCGACGACTGGCTCAGGCACTTCCACAGAGATCCCCGAATCGCTTCTTTACAGTCGGGTTGCAGGCACGGTGCGAGCGAGCAGGTATCCAGGCATGCCTGCAGCTTGGACTCCGCCCAGCGACGCCAGCAGTCGTGGCAGGCCTCATGGCCACACGTGTCGTTCGGCGGGAGGTGGTTGTACGACCTCTTGCCGCACGCCTGGCAGCGAGCCATCCGGTCCCTCTGGCAGAAGGCCGCATCGACCTCCGCGACGCAGCAGCTCACCACTGCAGAGTACTCCGTGCACACACCCCGGAGCACGCCCCACGACACGTGCGCTCCGCACCCCGCGCGGCAGCAGTCCACGTCCGCGAGCCCGCCAGCACCCTGCGCGAGGTGCTCCTCCGCGCGCCTGGCCCAGCAGCGGGCGCAGGCGTCGTGGCCACAGGGCCCGTTCACGAGCAGCGCGGGCCGCTCCTCGCCGCACGCCGCGCAGGGCTCCCGCTCGCGCACGAGCGCGCGGGGCCCCGTCCGCGAGGTCAGCTGGATGCCCCAGCAGGCCGCTGCGCTCCTGAGCCAGGCCAGCTCCAGCGTGGCCTCCCAGTCGCCGCGCCCCGCCTCCGCGCATGCGCGCGCCTCCGCAGCCGCGCAGGCGCGCGCCCGGCTGCGGGCGCGCTCGCGGGCGCTCGCGGGAAGCGCCGGCAGCTCGGCCCGGAGGCCCTCGCGGGCGCGGGCCACCAGGCGGCTTGGCAGGAACCGCTGGCACCCGTCCGCGAAGCAGGGCACGCGGTGCAGGCCAGTGTCTGCGATCACGTGGGCGCCATCGACGCCAAACTCGAAGTCGCAGGCGGCGACCCACTGGCTCTGGCAGTCAGGACAGGCGGCGTGGCTGCAGGCGGCCATCGCGGTTCCCGCCCAGGCCTCGTTGTAACACAGCGCAACGTCCTCTTCGCACAGGGCGCAAGACATCGTCCAGCAGAGGGTGAGGAAGGGAACGCCCCGCGCTTTGAACAACAACCTTGGCCAAAGAGCTTGCACCAAAAGTCTGCGGATGCTCAACCGCGAACTTATGCAGTGGGATTATGACAAACGGAAAGGGCTGTGGACTGAGAATCCACACGGGCCAGCAGCCCAGCTTGCTTACATCGTGCGTACAGGTATCCACATATGTGTATACCCAATGATGTACGCACCCATATGAGCATACGAGTTCATGCAACCAGCGCGTTCTTATGGTCACTCCGACCTGGGCTTAAACGGCGTATGTGCCAACTGTCAGCGCCAGACGTGCAAGCCCGCCTTCGTTAGCGATCAGGCTGGGGAGCCCGCCCAGCGGAGCTCTCCGAGCGGAGCCCTCCGAGCGGACCTCTGAACGCACAAGCAACCCCGCCGTCGACGTGAGCTGAATGTCTCGAGCCGCCTCCGAGGCAGACGCCGACAGTAGTGAAGCAGCGGTCCGTCCAAGCTGACGACCTGAGATGGTCCTCGACGCGGGGGACCTCCAGGGACACGAACCGATACATTCTGCGGAAGGGTCTCCAGCGCGAGCTGCGTGACACCAGCCAGGCTTCACTGTCGATTCTGGCCGCCTAGGAGGGTCCTAGCGTGCTCCAAGAAGAGCCTGAGCAAACCACGCTATTCGAAAGTCACCTGCCAAGTGGGGTGGGCGGCGGCAAGTGCCGTGCTGGGTAATGTGCTTGACTCTGGTAAAAAACACAGCTCGCGGTCCCCACACATCCCATGATATCCCCAAATCGAAACGATAAGTTGGATCGGCGGACGAAATGAGTCGGATGGGCGGAAATCGGCAGCCAAGCCGAGAGAAGTCGAATCGGCGGGTCGTCCAGCTAATAAGGCATCAATTGAGAAACCGACATCCACATCGGAACCCGAAGTCGAACTAAAGAGGATTCAGAATCGATCGACATCGAGTCGAATCGAGCGGGACGAGTCGAAATGCGCCCTAACACTCTATTGATTATCTTCTCACCCAGGGGCCCACGGGTCTCGTCCCAGATCTGTTCTGATGGCCATGGGGCTCGAGAACGGCCCCCAGAGGCAGAGCGAGGACGACGGGGTTGAAAATCGGAGTCCCACCGAAATCTACAAAACTGCGTTACCAGACCTCTGACGTCATGATTTGTTTCATCACGTCGACCCCCAAAGGCCTCGACCTACTCCCCGCGACCAATGTTTCATCCCGAAGCGTTTTTTTGACGGCCCCGAGGCCCAGTGAAGGGCCCACGGAGGCTGAACATGGCGAAACACTTCCCGTCGTGATTTTTTTGAGACCCGAGGCGGTCTGGGTCCTCAGAGATTAGACGAAGCTAGGACGAGGATGAGACCGGACGAGGAGACATCGGGAATCTCTGAGGTCCGGCGGCTCTGGCGGATGTCTCTGGCGCCGCGGCCTTCTCAGAGCGTTCTGGAACGCTCTGAGAGCGTTTCGGAACGCTCTGGAACGGATGGATCCTCGCCCGAGCCCTGCCCGAAGAGAGCTCCCACGGGCGTCGCTGCCGTGGCGGCAGCCGCCGCGCCAGCCAGGGCTGCCGCGGCCCCGAGCGCCCGGCTGCCCTTCCGCGCCCGCCGGGCGCGGCGCGGGAGCGGCGCGGGCGGGCAGGGCATCGCCGTGGGCGGCCTGGGGCGGGTGCGCCGCCCGAGGCGGGTGCGCCGGCCGAGGGTTGGCGGCGCGCGAAGGGGCGCGAAGGGGGGAGCGGGGGAGGGGGGGAAGGATTCTTAGAAGGAGGCTGCTTCATAGAAGGCGCCGGCCTCACGTCTAGAGAGAAAGCCCGCGCCTTCTGAGAAGCAGACTCCTTTCAAGAAGCCGTCCCCCCTCCCCCTAGCCCCCTTTTACGCGTGGCCGTGAGGGTGTGCCGTCGGGCGAGGGGGGGTCAGCATGTTGGAGGCTTGGGAATGGGCATGTTGGAGGCTTGGAGATGCATCGGCGATTCGGCTAGATGTAGGCCCGACCATTCTTATGCCGAAATCGCCGATGCATCGCCGATGCATCGAAGATGTGTCGCCGACGTCGCCGTTGCATCCCCGAGGCATCGGCGATGCGGCACGGTCCTCCGATCTCATCTACGCCTGGAGGCTTGAACATGGGCACCAGCACCAACATATGAGTTGCCTCCACACGGGGAAGATGATCCTAGTTTTCGGTGTTGGTGGCCATCTTTCGGCCACCTGGGAAGCCCTAATATGAACGCCACCACCGAGATCGGGATCCTCCTCCCTCTGCAGAGGCACACCGCCGATAGTGGTGTTGGTGTCGACCTCGAGGCCTCCGAGCATGGCCCGAGGCATGCGTGCGGGCGAGGGGGGGGCAGGGGGCGCACCGAGAGGAAGAGAGGGAGCGGGCAGGTGAGATCTGGGATATGTCATGGCCCCGGCCATGATGATAACATCACCCCTATAGCCTATAGCCCTAACTAGGCTTCCCCCCACTCATCATCGCCCCCGAAACTGCAGGCTGAAATCCTGAGGGGTTCTTACCCAATATTCGGCCAGATTGACTTTTTCCCCCCCCGCGATTTCCTGCATCTCACCCCCCGCCGATGTCCTGCATCTCAGAATCTGGGCGCCGTTTTTCGGGGCCGGCGACTCTCAACAACTGTCTCGGGACGAAAACTGCACCGGGAAAGGGTGACAAAATTAATCTCTGGATGTTTGGGCACGTGTTCGATCATGTCGCCCTTAAGAATCTCTGCCCCCTGCGCCTGCATTTGCTGTGAAGCCTTCCGTGAGCTGGCAGCACCCCCCGCCCAGTGCAGCACCCCCTCCAAAGCAGCAACACACCCATCAGCAGTAGGGACAGTGACTGAGGCAATCACTCGCGTCCTCTTCCGCCATCCGAGCCCTTTCCCAACACATGTCATCTTCTGCGGCAACTCATGGGAGTCTCACGCACCATCTTTTTGGCTCATACAAGCCAACACTCATCGACACAAATCGACGCTAGTCGACACTAAGCGACGCCAACGCGCTCTCAAGACGGAATTGCGAGGGTATACAGGGTACCTATGATTTGCTACTAAACTCATCCTCCGCACCCCGTTGGGCCTGTCGCGGCACGCTTCATCATCGACGAAGCTGGCCGAGAGCCCCCAGAGCCGATCCCACAGAGCAGGACGGCCAGGGCGATGAGTCACCAGGCGTGGGCTCGGCAGCTTCACGGCGGTACGCGCGGCGCTTCGCCAAGGAGGCACTTCGGATCGGGATTCACGCGAACCGATCTGAGACGTCCGACACCGAAGAGCCGGGCTCGACCGAAGCTAACGGGCCGAGGCGGGTCCCTCTCGGCCGACCAGACTGGGCGGCAGCTGGAGCCCGAGGCCCCACGGGCCGCGGCGAGAGGTCAGAGCGGCCGCGCGGCGGGGCCCTGGCCAGGAATACCTCGGGGCACGAGGGCCCTCAGAGAGGCCGGGGTCTGAGGCGGGAAGCCGGGCCGAGGTGCGCCCCGCAACGCGCAACGCGTCTGGCCGAAGCCGTGGTTCCTGCGGCTTCAGCCACGCCGCGTTTCGAGCGTGACGCGTCTGAGCACGCCTCACGGACATCCGAATCGAGTCTCGCTGGCGAGGATGCGGACGAGGGCGGCGCAAGAGCCGAGCACCGCGCAGAGAAGGGCCGGACGGGAGACGGGAGCCCCGTCGCACACACACACGGAGGGCGGAGCGGTGAGACGGGAACGTCAAAAGGAACTGGACGCCAGGACAACTGCAGGGGGCGAGGGGCACATTGCTTGAGAGGGGGAGGCGGGAGAGCCGCCGGGGAACGGAGGCGAGAGGGGAGACCCTGAGCGGAGAGAATAGCGCGCAACGGCAGCGGCCTGTTGATCAACACCCGTAAGGGGAGATGGTGGGCCGGGGTGAGGTGGGGCGAGAACACGCTATGTCTGGCTCGTGGGCTACCGCGGCAGCCACCGCTCAGCGACCACCACGATCCCATGGGCGGTCCGCTCTCCTGGTTGGGGAAACAAGCTGTACCGATCCCGCTGCTTCTCGGACCTCTCCATGGTCGCATTCTGATCTGAATTTCGAGGCGAATCCAGCCGTGACGGTGAAGGACTGGTAGCGGTATCATTATGTTGTCTTCCTCTGAATGGTGGATGGTGGACCTTGCTCCCGCGGGCCCCGCCCAATGGGCGACCTTCTCTGGAGGGGGGTACAGCTCACAAGGGCCCCTGGTAGCCAAGCCAGGGCTGGCCAATAGGGCAGTCGCCTCAGTAGGCCGACCCCCAAGCGACGCGACGACCGCCAACCAAAGCCGTTCCTTATTCCAGCGTCTTGCCCGTGCCCTTCAACTTTGTGGCGCTGTCACCCGCCAAATCGCGGACTTGACGCCCTTACCCCTTACTCCCAGCGCACGAGCAGCAAGGGAGGCCTACTCAAACGGCACCACTGCACACACAATGGTAAGCGACGTCATCTATACATGCCCACCACCACTGGTCAGGCCTATCCTGAAACCAGCAGCCGTGTTTATGCCTCCCTGGCCAAGCCAGGGGGGGGGGCGTATACACCGCTCCTGGGCTCTTGATGGCCCCTACGTTCGGCTATACATAAGAGTGGCCTAGGCAAGAGTGACTGTTGGTGAGCGGCTCGGGGGGAGCGCGATGGGGCCAAATTCAAGCGAGTAAGCCGCTTCAGGCCAATGCTTGGGGCACCCCTGTGGGCCCGCACCAAAGACCACTCTGGCGAAAAGTCACTCTCACGCAAAGCCGATAAGTGGGCTGCGCTGCGCAGCCCCCCGGCACCACAGCGAGCAGCACGCCGCAGGTCCGAAAACCACACGGCCGCAACAGAACTGCGCACGGCCTGGCCTGTCACCTCCGACGGCGGTGGCGCTCGCTGGCTCACAGGCGGGCGCTGGCACGAGGCAGCGATTGGGGGGGGGGGGCAGCTCAGGGGGGAAACATCGAGCTTCAACCCTAGACCCCTTGAGTCATGAAGAATCACGACCGAATTCTATTCTATATGTTCAGCAACTCGGGGCCCTTACGGGGCCTCGGGGCTGTCAAGAAACGGCCAAGCATGAAACACGGTTCCTGGGTTACTGGAACGACACCCATGGCGGTCAACGTTATGAAAAAGACATGACGCCGGGGGCCTGGGGTTGCAGCATCGAGGACGCATCCAGACCTCCTCGATGGGGGATCGCGCCGCATCGCCGATGCCGCATCGCCAATGCATCGGCGATGCAGTGGCGATGCTGTGGCGACGTCAGCGCCGTCGGCGTGGAGAAAATCGGGATCCACATCGAGCCCCATCGCCGATGCACCGGCGATACGGCGAGATCCTGCGACCCCATCTACTCCGATACCAACCAGGAGGCCTACGGTGCGTTCGTGCGGCGTCGGCGCGCGCAGGAGTTTTTGACACTGCGTCGATCGTTCAACCTTGAACTGGTCGCGGCCCCGATCGTGCAAGGTTGAATTCCGTCGGGTCCAGTGCCGTCACCGTGCCCCTCGGTGCTTCCGCGTCGAAGAATTCAACCTTGAACACCTTCGCCGGCGTCGCCGGCGCGCCATCGCCGCATGAATTTGCCTTAGATTATTATCCTCTCCCTCGTCCCCCCGCCCCTCCCTCCGCCCTCGCCCCCTCCTCCTGCTCCATGGTCGTCCCTCACCCCAGGAGGGAGTGGCGGCGGCGAGGAGGCGGCGGCGGCCTCCTCCGATCCTCGGCCGCGAGATGCAAGGTCATCGTGCCACCGCTGGGGGCGCGGAGGGAGGAACGAAAGGGAGTTTCTGACTGCGGCGAGCCTCGGCCACGAAGAAACTCTCCGACCTAAAATCCAAGAAGCGCGCCGGAAGCCAGAGCCCCTTCCGAACCCAAAGTGGTCCTTACCTCAGCGTCTTGACTGCAGGGCCTGCCTGATCAGAGGTTGAAGCAGGGCCTGCTGAGGTCGTGGGCGTAATGGAAAGGGGAGCAAGAAGAAGAAGAAAGAGCAGGAGGGGGAGGAAGCGCCAGATCGAAGTATGGCAGCGAGGTGGCCGCCTTGGATCCAGAGGAGCAGGGGGGGAATTGGGCAATGGGCCCGAGCCAGAAGCTGCGCGCGAGCAGCTCGTTCGTCCAGGTGTAGCGCAGTTCGGCATGGTGCGTTTACGAGCAGCCCACCCCCGCTAGCACAGGGTGAGTAGACTCATCGTCGCAGACTGGAATCAACACCTTTGTGGCGCTCGCGGCCGTCACACACCCCGAGATCTCGAGTTGTAGCCCTGGGCTGTGAGGATCTCGTACGCCTCAGTCACGAAGACATCTGCGCAGTACTGATTGGACCTCTTCTTAGTGTGGCATAAGATGAGGTCGTACCCCATTGCTAGGCGGGGACCCTTTGCGATTGAAGAGCCTGATCCGAAGAGGCTTTAGCCCAAAATGGTATGGGGGAGTAGGAAGAGGGATGAGCGAAAGAGAAAGACCAAGAGGAAGTGCAGACTGCAAAGTGCAGGGCCAACGTCTGTGTGCACAGGTAGCGCAGTAGCGCACTGTAGCGTAAACGCTCGATGTGTACCTTTTTGGGCACTTATACTGCCCGAGACGCTCTGCCACAACCAGCCCTTACCATCGCTCGGACGTCCATGCCCATGGCATGTTTCAGTTTCGTGGGTCTCTTCCTCTCGTAAGGTAATCCAAGATGTTCCTCGATGGCCCTCGCCTGGAAAAATGCGCACGTCCGAAGGATACCAAGATTCTTGAGCACATGGACAGACACCCCTCCAGCCGCTTAGAGCGAAAGCCGATGTGCACAATCAGCGTTGTGCCAATCATCTCTGAGGGAGGAGGGGGAGCTGACATATCAGCACTATGACACAATCGGCGACGCAAACGTGCAAACAATGAGCTATCTCAAAAGCCGTGCACATGACGCGTCCAACCACGTAGGTGACCAATCCAGCGAGCGATGGCGTATATGAGTGGTCACTGCGCGGTGGTAGGCTCAAAACTGGAAGAAGAAATCGCGATACTATACTTATATATATCCCAACAAGTTGCCACTGAAAACCTAGCACATGCATTGTCTTCCCTTGGTGCCTCCATCATTGTGGTAAATGCAAGATGCATTTGCAAGACACTGCATTGCAACACTGTTCATACAGCACTGAAGATAGTTGCATTGCTTCGCGTTCACTTGTTTCGGCTCTTGTGAACCTTATGTGAACGTGTTGCTTTGCTGTGGTGTGCACTGTTCTGATGTGCGCTGCATTGACTCATCTCGTTTCGCATTGCGATACCATTGAAAACGCAAGCGGTTTGAAGTTGCAATGGGACAGATTGCTGCACAGTGCCCTCCACTGAATCGTGAGGCAGATCATTGCCATGTCATTGCTTTGCGTTGCATCGGTGTGCGCACCATTGCACTGATTCGCAGCGCACTGCATTACACTGCGATGCGACTTCATGTCACAATGCATTTGCACTGCATTCCTTGCTTAGCGTTCCTTGCATTGCCTTCCTGGCACGTCACTGTTTTGTATGTCCTTGCGTTGCGGTGCATTGCACTGCTCTGCAGCGTCTTCCATCGCTCTGACTTATTCTGCGCTAAAGTTGTTGCTTTGTGCTGCAAGTGTATTCATTCATATTCACTGTTGTTCGACTTGCGGTGAATTCATGTGGGCGCGGTGGCTGGTGTGCTGGGTAAAGAGCCCTACACTGCAAAGGATTGCTTTACATTGTTGCAATGCATTGTACTCGTTCGCTGCGTGATACACTGGCAGAACATAACGCAGCACGGACCACGGCATGGCTTTCGACATCCTGGGGATACCTCTGGCTTGCTCCGGTCGTGCCTCTCCATCTCGCGCATAGTCCGTTTGCCCAGGCGCCTCTCTCCAGAAGAAAGCAAACTCTCGTTGAGATCTCGCCTGGCTCACCTCTCACTCAGCCTTTGCCTGGATGGTTCCAACTTTTCACGCTAAGACGTGCAACGACATCAGCTGTCTTGAGAACGTGGACATAGGATAACCTCGAAGTGTGTCGCGCGAGCGAGCAGGCTCTCCTCTCCTCAGTGGCGGGGAACGGTGTGAAGCTCAGATCACCGCGCCTAAGCCAAAGGCTTCGGAGGAGGGCAAGAGAGAGAGAGAGAGACGAGAGACCCAGACTCTAGGGGCTCGAGGAGCCATCTGGGAACAGCGGGCCTAACTTTAGTTGCCCGAGCTCCGAACCTCCTGCTTCCAGAAAGATGGGCTCCGATCCATCTTCTGGCTCCTCCTCCTCGTCCTCTCTACGTCCTCGGCAGCTTCTGCCTCCTCGGCGACCTCCTCCCTCTTCTTCGTCCTCTCTGCCTCCTCGGCAAGCTCCTCCCTCATCTTCTCGCCCCTTCCTAGCCTCCTCCTCGTCCTCAGACACCTTAGGGAACGCCTGAGCTTCCAACAACTTCTTGGAGGCTCCGCGAGACCTATCTGAGGAAGAGCCCGCTCATCCGCGTGCCCTTCCTCATCGATGAGACGCAGCGTGCCCTTAGAGAGCACGTCATGCAGCGCCGCATTCCCTCTGGCCGGGTCCACCTTGGTAAGGGGGTCGGCTGGCATCATGTCGTGAGGCATCCACCTCACTTGTTCCTGCCAATGCATCTCGTATGACCGCCATTCTAACTGCATTCCGTCGGTCAGCTCGAGACCCTGCGCTCTTCTCTGGCAAAGTGTCGAAGATGCTCTTTGCATCGACGATACACAGCAGAGCCGGCATCGCCTAGCTCGCACTAGCGAGGCAGTAACACTGAAAATGGGCCCAGTGACTGGGACCACTTGGGCACTTGAACATCTCCGAACAGAGCGCCCCTCCACGTGATCTGCAACCACCGGGCTTCTGCAGCCGCGCTCGAAAGGGAAAGGGTCTCTGCCGCAACCGTCGACGCTACGGCCCTCTTCAACTGCTGGGACCGCCACGCCAGCAAGCTAACCCTGGCCCTGCGGTTCTGACGAATCGAACTGTCCGAAGCGAAAACCAGCCATCCGCTCTGAGCGCTCCCCCGTCGAGCCGATCCCGGACCTCCAGCTTCAGACGCCGTAGCGAACGTGGTGGCTATGGGGTCTAATGGCCACGCAGCGATGCACTGCGATGCAGAGGCCTTCAGGAATTTCACCACTCTATTCGCCATGATGGCGTCAGGGACACGGGGATCAGGGAGCGCCGAAGCCAACAACGAGGCACTCCCTGCCACATCGGGGCGCGACGCTCTGCCGAGCCACTGAATCTGCGCCACCGTCGTCTGGTACGATGAGATCTCCGAAATCGACAGGAGTTCCTCGGGGTGGGCCTTTCTCGTTTTATCGGGGGCGATGGGAGTAAGTTGTTCTCTAACATACTTTTCCTGATCCACCGAGATCTTACCCCCCGGATGTTGGCTCAAGTGCATTCCCGCATAGTCAGCTTCCCCCTCATCCCACTTACCGAAGCGAAATCTCTCGAAAAGCCTGCGCTTCAACTCCGGGAGCACCACAACTTCGCCCGACACTATGAGACAGTCTACTTCGATCAAAATGAGCGACTGCAGCTTGCCGCTCGGAGCCTTCTGCAGCCATGAGCAGGGTTCAAGTAACGATCGCTTACATCCAAGCTCGGACAAATCGTCCGTCAATTTTCTGTGCCACAACAGAGGAACGCCGTTCAACCCATGCACCGGCGCCACTAGCTCGATGAGCTGATCACTGGAGATTCCTAACCCCAAGCATGGTTTCACATAGATCGCGCCACGAGGCCTCTCGAGTTTATTGCTCTGGCAGAACGCGTTTTTCGCATCGGCGATCCCTGACTTCCAGCCTTGGGGGGCCATCAGCTGCAGCGTCAGCACTACACTCTCTGATTGCGGGGTCGGGGCGTAGACCTGAAGGGTCTCTCCGTCAGGATCCTGGTGGCCGTGCGCGCGCCAGCGACTCTTCGCCACTGGTTTGCTCCCTACTCCCTCGGTCGGCTTGAACCGACGGACCATGCGCGATGACAAAACTCTGTCGGGGTGCCTGCGACGGGCAGCTCTCGACTCCGAGGGGGACAGGACCTTAGCTGCGCCTGTCGCTACCATGGCTTGCCATTCCTTGGCATCTGACTCTTCAAACAAGCGCTTCTCCTCGCTGGGAAGATTTCTCAGCTGCACCTCGGCCCCGCGGCGAGGAACGGGCGGCACTGCCGCGCGGGCTGCCCCAAGAAGCAGTTCTGAACATCAAAACAAAAAGTCTGTCCCGAGCCCTATCTGGAAGAGCGTGGAGCGTCAGTGCTGTAGCCGCGAGCGGCCAACTCTAAAAGCAAAGACAGGTATTGCTGCGAGTCTCTCGAGTCCTCTCCCTCCTCAGAGACCTCTCTTTCGAACAGTCCCCAGACCATTATCCCCGACTCGCAACTCCCCAAAGCAAGCGCGACCTCGCCCGATCGCATATCTCCCCGAGGCGCGCCCCCGGGGGCAGGAGAACGACTCCTCTCCCGGACCGCTCCAGCAGTCTCGGAGGAGGCTGAAGCACCCGGCGTCACCTCAGTACTTCACGGAGCGATCGCTGATGCCAGAGCGCCCTCGCGCTCGGCTATCATTCTCGAGACAATCGAAGATCCCTCTGGCATGTCTTCAACCCGTGTCAGCGTGGGAGAGCGGGGGCCCCCGTCTCCTAGGCGCGGCGCCTCGCGCTGCCCCTCGCGTCTCCTGGGCGGCGGCGGAGCGGGGCCTGGGAGATGTGGATCACTTGGTATCCTCGCTGACCTCCGCGTGGAAGACGAGCCCGCGTCTTCGGCGCCAGAATCTATCGCGGTGATAGGAGCCCGCTGCGAGCCTATTTGGACGTCTATAAAAGAATTTCCTCGACCCTCAGGTTCCGACGGCGGCCGGGCCGCAGTAGAGGCCGTCGAATCTGCTGCCCTTCCCGGGGCTGCAGAACCTGGCTGGGGACCACCGATGGCCTCCGCGGGCGAAGCCACTGGCTCCGGAACCGCGGTAACCGAGGGGCGGGCCCCTGAGACCTCCTCGGGTCTTCTCCCCCTGGGCTCGTCGGCTTCTCCCGGGACATCCCAAGCCTCCGGCGGAGGCGGGCCCTCCGACTCGACGTCCACGGCTCCGGCGCGCTCGCCTGGCACGCGCAGCTCTTACCTTAGCTGGTCGAAACGGGGATTGCCCAGAAGCTCGGCCCCTAGGGCCTCTGGCCTCGTCGCAGGCCTGACTTGTTCACTGAGGCACTTGGGGGGTCCGCGGCGCATCGCCGCCCAAAGGGCCGGGGGGGCTGAAACACCACGGCCCCGGGTCCCGTCCACCTGTCTCTTTGGAGAGCGTGGTCGACCTTCCTCCACGCGTATACCCACTCTCCGGGCTGAAACACCTTATCGACGTGCGTCCTGTCTCGGGCGGCTTCCGCCAGCCTGCCCCGAGCGCCGTGGGCCGCCAAGGCCCTGCG